CCCCCCCCCCCCCCCCCCACTGCCACTGCTGCTGCCTGGCCCTGACAGGAGCCGGCACAGGAGGAGGAGGAGAGGCAGGGAGGAGGGGCATGTTGTGTGCCACCAGGTGTTGGTGACTGCTGCTGCGTGCAAACTCCCCTCCTCTATATAGATATAGCTATATAGATTAGGCAAGATAAAGGCTTCAAACCTAGAGGAAGACAAATTATTGTACTGTCATTCTTCCCATCTTTAAAGAGCACACCTTTAAACTATCAGGGTCTTCATAGGCTTAATGTTAGCAGAGTCTTTTTCTGGGTGATGCACTGAATCAGCACGTTTCTCAGATACATTGCAATGTACTCCAGGCCTCTTGTGAAACAGAAGTGGCAGACAGCTTGTTCCAGTGTGAGCTCATGCAAGGTAGATTTGCAGCCACCATGGGGCCATATCATGGCTTCTGCCAGGAGAAGCCAGCGTAACCAGCACAAATTTAAAATGCCCCTGTGTTTTTTTTCATGATATGCATGTTGTTTATGCCAGATTTTAGTCTGTAGTGGAGGGAAATTACTTTGCTTCCCTGTATTGTTCCATTTTTTCCATTACATCTCATCAATTTTCCTTGAGCTCATTTAATTATATTTACTACCAATACATGTTTCTTTTAAGATGTAGGTCTGAGAGTACTAAAATGCCAATTTCCATTATAATCCATCGTATGAATTCTTTCTAAATAGCTTTGTAAAAAATAGCATTTAATCTGAGTATCCATAGTTACTCCAAATTATAAATAATTATATTTTCTTTCTGTTTTGATATAGTGGCTGTAATTTGGTTATCAATTGAATCTTTATTTTCAAATTGTTTACAGATTGTGCTGATTTTATTCTATATTGGTTGTATTTTAATGTGAACTGTTCTGCGAGTGGTAGAGGGTACTTTTCATTGAGAAAGCAAGCTTAACCTGGGCAGCCATTTAAAACAAGTGAGGTATTCATGTATGTATGCTATATCATTCATCTTCTCATGCAGGTTTTCTTTCTTTCTAACTAATCTTGAAGTCTAACATTTTGTTCTGCAGGCAGCTGTAGGTGTATTTCTTTGAGCTATTTTATAATGCATGTTGAAAGCTGCAATTCAATTACTTTATGCTTATGAATAATATAATATGCAGACCTAACCTGTCATCTTTTAGCTTTTTGATAAGCTAAAGTATCTTAAGGTCTACCAGATACAGTTAGTACAAGTGCTGGTACAGCAGCATATTAGTCTCTCTTTTTTTTTTTTTCCCCTCTTACATTCTTAATGCCTCTTTCCAGGCTCACAGACAGAAGGGAATTAAATTAAGGGCACCTGATATGGAAGCTGTGACTCCATGGTGTGTTGCCTTATTTCAAGTAAAAGCCTGTATACAAGTATGCCAAGGCAGTAGGACCATGCAAGTTGGAAGAAAATATCTTTTGGGTGGCAGGGAGTGTGGCAGAAAGCCACCTTGGTTTCTCCCCAAAAATCTCTGCCCTGTAATCATGTGTTTAAAATCTCTGCCCTGTGACACTGTGATTAAAATCTCTGTGCTGCGACCATTTGATTAGGGTGGGCCCAGCAGAGGAGACTACACCCTCAGCCTGTCTTTTTAGGTAACTTGAGCTGGCTGCATTCCTGAGGGAGGGGGGAAACCTGCTCCCTCTGCCTACGTGACTTCCATCATTTACCTGGGTAAGGGGTTTCTACCTGGTGGGTTGGAATCTGCCCGGCAACTAGTGATGTATTTCAAATGGGTTGGCCAACAGCCAACTGGAACTGGCCTCCACGGGACCAGGTGTATGAGGTCACAGGGGCTATATAAGTTAGGACTGCCCAGAAGGCAGTCTCTTCTGCCATGCGGTGGAGCTGAGGGCTTGGGGGGAGTTCAGAGAAGCTGTACCATCTATAAGTAGCTT